GGTATCTGTATGCATTTGCCCTCATTTCCACCAAATGATTTACTGACAGGAATACTTAAGTATAAACAAAATAGGAGGCTAATATTAAAATCTATTCATGGGTGAAACTTTTAAAGTAATAAATATTAGTATTAATAATGAAAAAAAAAATCAAATACTTATCTTTCTCCAGCTAAGGAAAGGTGTTCTGTTCAATCTGAATCAGCTAGCACAGGCAGAATGTCATATACTGAATACTCAAGAGAAAATTGTGTTTTATTTTTGGATATTGGATAGTAAATGCTGTTTCTGACATTTATATAAATAATCATATTTACATTGGCAAGTTTAGGAATGCGTAGAGAAAAAAAAACCCACCACATTGTTTGCACAGCTTATACTGGGCAACCAGGTTTTGTTCATCAAGTATACATTGGGGAATGTCTGTGCCAATCCCAAAGCAGCTATAACCCCACTACATAGTTAAAACGTCTCACAGATTGTACATACTAACAGTCTGTTTAATTGATACGCAGGTATGTAAAGAAGAGGTGCTACTGTGAATCAGCAACAGGAATTTTCCCTGCTGAAGCTGCCAGAACACCCACTGATCCAAGAGGTTGTATTTGCTAAGCAGTTGTCTGCCTCGGAAGGCCAAGCCAAGCTAAACTTGACTGTCAGCTTGCAAAGCCGTAAGAAAAAATTCCCTATCTATTAAGCAACCTAAAATAAACAACTGGAAGCCATATATCCAGTGAAAAACCCTCAATAACTTAAGAAACTGGAGAACTGATGCTTTTTGCAAGCAGACAGGTTTGATGAGAAATTCACTCTCTTCCCAATTTAACAAAAGTCTGGAAATCTTGCTCTTGCTGTTTGCATTTGCTTATTCACTTTTCTACTTGCATTTTCAAAACATGTGAAGCCATAAACCAAGCCTAACTGGGTCAGGCTTCCCAAATCCTAGAATTTGGCACTTGGAGACTTCCTAGACATTGCTGGGTTTTATGCCATTTTCATCACTTGGCATTGCTGTATTTGATGCACTAGGTGTGAAAATGTCTTCAGCCTCAGTGTTTCTTTCCGGTCAGTTTTTTTGCTTTACCATGAATCATAAGTGACACTGACAGTGTCTGCAGTGCTGTTCTTTTATTCCTGCAGATCTAGGTTCCCTTTTATGTGACTTCATTGCCGAAACCTCATCATCCCCTTTACATTCTTATTGCACTATCATAAAATGATTTGTTTTCTTTGACAGTAATTTAAATACTGAAACCTCATTTTCTACTCCAAAACACTGAAATTCATCTGGAAAAAGAGTCCTGTCATTATAAAAATGTCTCGAGGGTATTGAAATTAATTTCAGTCATTCATTTAAGGGTCAGCATCGATTTGTTTTCTAAAATATAACTACAAAACCTTTGCACTGTTTGGAGTACCTTTGTTTCGAACAAAACAGACCTAGGAGCAGCTCTGCTGCAAAACCGAGTAAGGGAATGAGGCACGCATAGAGCAGTTAGTTGAAAAGAAAAATATCCAGTTCTCTTGTGCCTGGGGGGAGGGAGAAGGGAAAAAATATCAGTATTTTTTAACACATAATTTGTTCCACCAGTAGTACTGGCCACCCTGTTGAAGAGCTTTATAAGATCCCTGAGCACATTAGTTTCTGACTTTTAACCCCAGCTCCAAAATAATAGGGCTTTCTGTTGTTGATAGCGAGATGGATTGTCATTCACAGTTAAGTCAATCATAAGGTGCTTAGCTATTTACCCTTTGTCACCAATCAGCACAAAGAACTGTCAGAAAATAGCTTTTATTTCTCTTTTTTTTTAAATAATAAAAGGGCACAAATTTTAAACAATGTTTTGTGACAGTGGTTTAGGATTATTATCTGGCTGCCCCTCAACAACAGACAAGTGATTCAGTCGACATTCCTTAGGAAAAAAAGGCAAAAAAAAAAAAAAAGAAGAAAAATCCTGTACAAATATGTATTTTTCCCTGAGGGATCAAGGTTACACCCGCAAGTGCTCTATGTACATATTGCACTGTAGAGGAATGAAGAACATGTGCAAAAAAAGCAACAATGATTGAAGCTTACTAATCAAACCATTTAATCGTGACCGCTATGTCAGCTTGCATTTTGGAATGTCGGAACACAGCTATTCCTTTAGGCTAGAATGTAAAAACAATGAGAAAACAAAAAAAGAAAGAAAAACACACCTCTACTATGGCACATTCAATGAAATAAAAAGTTTTTCAAAGACAAATAGACAAATTCCATCAAGAAAATAATACAAAGTTCGTTCGTTTGTGTTTTTTTTTGTTTTTTAGAAAAATTACATTACTTTCTTTCATTGTTTCACATTACAAAATTTTTTCTTGTTTACACAAATCACATTTTATTGCAGGAATATTTCAAGTGCCATCAAACATTTATAGAAGGGTTAAAAAAATAGAAGTCTCTCTAAAGTGGTCCAGACAAGGCTTTGTATAGAATAAATCTTTTTTCCACCTTCTATTTTGACTTAAGTATTTTTAATACATTTTCTTTATTCCATTGACACGTAACAGCCTAGAAGCAGGCACTCACCCGTACCACACGTCCATCCACGTGCGCACACAGAGGTACTCACACACACACACAAGCACACGCACACACAGAGGTGCACATACACACACAGATATCTTGGTATCCACACTAAGATAGGTAAGCTTTAATAAAGAACAACCAAACTTAAAACCAGCCTCCCTTTTCACCTAATCCCATTGTTTTTAAAACACCAAGCAATGCTGGAGATGTTGGAGTACACTGGGGTGGTTCAAAGGACAGCACAGTGCAGTCTCTCTTTCGTAGAAAGCCAGAAAACAGCTTTGTGGACAGATGTAGCACCCAAGGAAAACCTGTTTTTCACTTTTAGGAACAGATCATTCAAAAAATAATCTTCAGCTGTCCTCATGTTTTTGTTTGTAGTGAGCTGTGCAGACTATGGAAGGACTCGTGAATACCCACTGGTTCCAACTATGGCGGTTGGCAGCAGTAGGAAAGCAGAGTTACCTGGGGTGTGTATGCACAGCCTGATTTAACACCTTGCCAGTACACAGGAGCTCCCACGGACAAAAGTGACAGCACTTTCTGGCCTAGCAGAATATGTCACAAGCTGCTTTCAGATGCAAAAGGCTTTCAGCTAAGGCCCTGTTGAGCCTTTTTTTATGGTCATGGTGTTTATTAGTAAGGTCTCAAAAAATCTGTGTTGTCAGTGACTTACAGGTGTAAATATGCTGAACTAGATACCAAACAAAGCCACTGGCACCTAGCTGCCTGGCAAAGTACTAATACTCATCGGGAAAAGGTAAGAAAAGGATGCGACTGAAAATTAATCCCCAGATATCTTGCCTGATAGTCTACTTATTGTCAGAAGTAGGAGTTGTCTCAGTCTCTAAAGTATAGGCCTTACTTCATTATTCATTAGTTGACACTGAAATTAAGTTTAGTTGATCTTTACAGGACTAGCACCTAAGGCTGGTCACATTCAGAAAACATTTGTTAGTTAAAAGGGTATCTTTAAAAACAGGAACACATGTTAGAATGCAAGTACTGTATCATGTCAGTTACTCCAGTAAAGTAAACAATGCTGCTAGGACCAAGGTTTCAGAGGGACTGGGGCATGGCTGTACTGGCTGTGCGCTGCCGCTGTGGCAGTAGGCAGCATGGAGCAGGAAAAGCACACCCCTGTGGGCTCTTCCCACAAGCACTCTCATGGCTCCATCCCAGTGCTCCTGGAGGTGCAGGTGTTCCCCTCCCACACTACAGGGGCATACTGCTTTAAAGGGGAAATATGGGCTGCTCATTTCCCCTCCTTTCAAACTGCAGAGGTGAGCAATAGCTGTAAGCTTCCCTGATGTGGCAGACTGTGGCATTTTTAACAGGCATGATGGCTAAATGCCTCAATTTGATCCCACAGGAAGCATGTTCAGATCATAGAGTAAACCTCTGTTTTGTTTATAGTAGCCCACTGACCTAATCCTCCTTTTAAAAATAGGCTTCAGAGTGGTTCTGTTCACTTCTGTTACCTAACAACTACACTAAATGTAAGAAATCAAACCCATTGAGCACATTCTGTCTCATTCCTTACTGGTTTTTAAAGCTCCTGGGTTTTTTTTTAATACATACTTCATCAAGAACTTAATTTGTATTGACCTCTAACGCATCCAGTTACACATCTATCTCATCCAAACCAACGACACACCTCTGGCTCAGCCAGTCCCAGTGTATTTTGTGATGTCAGTTACTGTGGATCTGCCTTCAGAACTAGGTTTACTTGCCACATCTGCTTGGAGAGAGTATTCTTCCTAAAGGGAAGGATAATTGTCAATAATAAGGACTGGTAAAGACTGCAAGATTCAGCTTACTGGTTGGTTATGCAATATGGGAATCAAAATTCCAGAATTACAGAATGCAGATCTATAATAGTAACAATTTCCTGGCATTACACAGAGTACAACCAAACTGTGTGCCTTTACTTTGTTAGTCTGTCCTCATCTGATAAACTTTAAAGTGCATATTTTAAATAAGACCAATGGGCTTCTCTGGTCAGCTGCCTGAAACTGCACTGCTGAGAGCTAGAACAGGGGTCAAACTATGAATTTTGACTTCTGTGGATTTTGATAGGCTGGAGTGTGGAGTCTGAATGCATTGTTTACAATATGGAGTACAAGGTATGTAAAATTATATATAAAAATTACTTTTCTACATACACATCATATACACATACTTTTACTGTAGATACAGACTTGAGTAACTACCTTCAAACCTGGATTGACGGTGGGCAGAAATACACTTCAAATAGCCTGATTTCCAAGGGTGTACATTACTGATTTGTAGCTGTTCTGTAATTGCTTTAACTTTGAGCATGGAAGCTCAGCACCTTTGAAAATGAGGCGTTTGACTTGTGCACCTAACTTGGAATTTAGGCATGTCGTTTTAAACATTCAGGTTTGAAAGATCCAAAACTAAAAGTACCTTGAATTTAGCAGCTGAAAAGCTGATTTTAATTCAGAAAATTGTCATTATTTTCAACTATTAAAAAAAAAAGAAGTCTATAACTGTTTCAGGATATGACCAGCCTCTCTTTAAGAGTAACATGGAAAACAGCAGCATAAATACCTCCCAACGTATACGTACTAGTACCTGCCAAACCTTTTTCAGTTAAACTTGAATTTCTGGTGCACATGCAACACAACAATGAACACGCTAGCATTTAATTTAAAGAAAAAGGTGCAAAATGAAAGTGCCTTATCAATTCAACAAGAAAAGCTATACCAGTAACTACATTTTATATTAATTAAAACAATATATAAACAATATCTCTTTTGCTATATATAGTCTTCATGCCCATTTACCCTGTAATATATTATAATGCTATTGTTGCTATTGCTATGGACCCTTTTCATGCCGTTCTGTCTACTGGCAAACAGTGGTAGGTGAAAAAAATCGTCCTTCATGAAACAATGAGCAAGTTGTGCAAACTGATGCTGAAATCTCTGCAATGCACACCAGTCGCTGATTACTAGGTGGACTCTGTTCTGATCAACAAATTGATTGTTCTGTCAAAAGTCTGGGCAGTGAACTACAGGAGAAAACAACCTTCTGACATGAGTACCCTCAGTCTGTGTAAACAGAGGTCAAGGATTGAGAAGCTGAGACAGAAAAAGGGTCCATATTTGTAGGCATAATGGAAATCATATGCATGAGAAAAACAAGTTCAACTTTGTTTCATTGTTTCCCATCCTTCGCCTGACCCCGACCGCCAAGAGATGTGCAGTGTGTTGGCTCCCTAGGTCTGTGCAGGGCCACATAAAGTGTCTTGGTTTTCTTTTTCTTTCTTTTTTTTTTAATTTTAATTTTTTCTTTTCTTTTGTGTTACTGTTTGTACTTCAGACATTCTAGAAGTGCTTAGGTGATACGTTTACCCATCAATTTGCATCGCTGGCTCAAATTCTGAAGTGAACAACTCCTTGTAAAGTGGAGGAAAATGAAGTCGTACAATGTCTGGGTATATTGCTTTAAATGCCATAAGCTTTTCTGTATGTCGTCCACACAGTGCTCTTAAAGTAGACACTTTGCATATTAACTGTAAAAAATGAACAGAAGTCATAGGGTCACATATATGAAACCAGGCCTCGCAGTCTTGCTCTTAAAGTTCTTCCAAACACTTTGAGTTCACTTCAGTTGTTTACCTCAAGAATGACACATCTGGTACACAGTCATGGATGTTTGTTAGGTTGCATTAATCCAAAAAAGGAGGGGGGAGGGGAGGGTTGGGGAGAGAAGGCACTAAACAGCTACTGAAATAATGGACTAATGATAGCTATAAGGTAACCTTTTCGTTATGCTCCTAGGAAAAGGCATCATTTGGTTTCCTCACCTGCCTATCAAACACTGCACTGATACAGAAGTATTTCATGGCTGGATCTTCATTTGCACAGCTTAGCCATTCCCTTGGAAGAAGGCAGTCCTGTCTACTTTTAAACCCACTGTGAACATTGTGGAGGGAATGCAGATTAGGCTTTTTTAACTTATGACGAATCAGGTGAAAAGGAACAGACCAGGAAAATCTGTACTTCAACACTATCGCTAGGGTACTCCCTGAATGGACTGAATACATCCTTGTGTCAAAGCATGTGGAAGAAACTTTCTTCCAGCAAAGGTACCCAGAGTATACAGACATGGAAAAGAATTCCATAAGCTAGGATTTGACATGGGCTGGACCATCCAGCTTCTACTGTAACTAATTCTATGGTGTGAAACTGAGCTTAAGCTTTCTGGCTGTGTATTGCTCCTCCGTAGGGAAGTGCTTATCTTTCCCCAGTTCTTCCTGTTTATGTTTTTTAACATCACACCACTTTTCCATTTTTGAAAAATGACCTACAGATACTTTAGATGAGCACAGCAGTATGTAGGATCTTTTTTCCCCAAGCACCAGTGTTTGGAAGAACTATTGAGAAAAAAGGCTGTGTGGGGAACTTCTCATGGAAGACAGAACAACAAGGTTAGCTTGGGTATTGCATGTTATCACAACTTCATTGTCATGCAGGCAGAGACTTCACAAGGCTTAAGGCATGCATATTGTAGAACCGAAATAGAACTCTGTGGCAGAAATGTTGTGTGGGAGGAGGGTAAAAAACCTTCATTGCTTCTCATGCAGTTCAACATTAAAATACTTGGTTTCAGACTGTTATCAACCTTGTACATTATCATTTCACCTCTTCTAGTTTTTAGTAAATAGTTCCAGCTGAGCACCTTGATTTTAAACAAAGCATTTTGGATTCATAAATAACAAATTAACTGCATAAAACTTTACACCATGCTGAGGACACCCATTCTTAAGTAAGCCTCCTTCTGCAGTCCCATGGTGTGGCACTGTACGGTTCTTACCTTTGTTAGGATTCCATCTTCTCGGTGGTTCTTCTGTAGGACATGCTGAAGCGCTAGCTGGATCTTCTGTTGGAGTTTTTCAATCTTTACTTTCTCCTGAAGCCACGAGCGATCTAAATATAAACGGAGTTAACACCTCGAGTACTGCACACGTCAGTCACAGCACACCAGAAGTACCAAGTCTGTTACAGATTCATCTTTTTTGTTTGCAACTTTCCTTCCACTTGTTCTATACTCTTGCATAGAAAACGAGTTTCAAAATCAATAGGTTTTGGACTGTATTTATTATGGGCATTTCAAATTACTTTTATGAAGTCCTTAATTAGAAGAACACAGTGTGTCAGAGTAAGATTTAGTTATCATTTGCTAACAAGGTCTGTAAAATGCAGGGTATTACAAAATTAAGCTAACAACTTTTTCATGGGAAATGCATAGATCACATAATGAACAAGAGCTGAAGTGGATCTTCTTGCTAAGATTTACAGGGACATACAGAAAAATCAGAAGGAAATATTCAGCTATTAAAACTATCAAAAAAGCTCCTCAACTTCCTCACTGAAAAGCAGTGTTTGCTGTCCATGCTCTGTGGCAAAATTGGGCATTTCTGTGGCTGACATAAGAAGACATGGGGCTAACATGGTTCCACTCTGGCTCACAGCACCAGAGTGCATTTGTGACATTCTCAATAAACCCGCTGTCAATAACAGCCTCTCCCACCACCACTCCTGACCCACTCTGCTGCAGTCTGAAATCAGCCTTTATTTCCTTCGGCGTTAATGCCAGGCACAAACAAACTTTGTGCACTGGTATCTTGTTTCACCTGACCTCATAAGCCCTCCCAGAAGCTGGAGTACTGTGCCTATCTACTTGAGATTATGAGGTTATTTCAGTTATTTCAGGACGGCAGACACAGGCTGCCTTGTGGGGTGACTTGCAGCATTGTCATTCTTGGTGTACCCCATTTCATGATGGTACAATGCTACCTCGGGATCTTTGTTACCACTGTGAAGTGGCAACCCTGCTTTAGAGAGCTGGGGTGGCACTGCAAGCATTCTGTCATGTGCTCGGCAGAATTCTGCTGCAGCTGTAGGCTCTCACAATTGAAAGCTGACCGTATAAACTCAGTGGCTACCTCCTGCCTCTCACCCTGGCTGACCCAGTGGTCACGTTTAAGCTTTCACAAAGAAGCTGAATCCCCAGTGAGGTGAAAACTTGGAAAACAAAGGCTTAGATTAGGATTTCCAATTGAACAAACCTGTGCCTGAATTCATAGTTTTAATGCGTCCATTACAGATTTTGGTCAAGGAGGAGCAACTCAAAAACATGGTGTTTCACACTGCCTGATAGTCTTAACAGCATTGAAAAGCATTAACAGCATAAAAACAACATCCAGCAAATAAACCTAGAGCAAAGCTTTGTCTCTTACCTGCTGACATTAAAACGAATGCAGAGAACAAGGCTATCTCATCTTCTGTCAGGTGCATAGAACATAAACTTTTTCCAAATTCAAACACAAAGCTAATGAAGTCTTCACAACCTGCCAAAAAGAAGGCACAGCTCATGCCACATTGTTCAGAACTACTTGAGAGCTACAGACTGTTGACTTATTCTGATGGAGGTGAAACAAAGAGGTAAAATACTTTCTAGGGGAATGGTCTTCTCGCTAAGGACCATGAAGCAGTGGTAGTGAGGTCTCTCTCCCGCATGCCTGAGCTTATGCCATTTCCCCAAGTCCCCAGCTCCCACACATGGCAGCTGGGATTACAAAGGCTCGGCATGCTGCATCTGCTCCACATTTGGTTCTTCTGGGGTAATTACGGATACAACCCAAGCCATTTTAAAGCTCAGAATTGTTTTAGCTTTCTTTCTGTTCCTAAATGGAACTTTCTTATGTCACTATGGACTGGAGGTTCAAAATGTGTACTTGAAAGTAAGACTGCTGAGCACACAGAAGGCGAGGGGAGAGGCATGCAAGGTACATGCAGGAGCAAAGGGAGAAGCCAAAGTCTGAAAGCTTTTCATGCAGAAAAGGAACAGCGTCTCCTGTCACCCATTCTCTTGTTCACACAGGTGTAAGTCAGGTTACTGCTGCTGTTACACATGCTATTAGAAGCTCAGAAAGTGGAGCCCTGCTTTGAAAGGGATTGCAACCTGATGGAAGGCGGGCTCTCCTCTGCTCATCGCAGCCCCAACCCAGCCTAAATGTCTGGATGTAGTTGCTAACAAATGGAAGTTGTTTCACTGGAACCCACATGTGATACTGCATGCTCTGAGTTGCCTGACTCTGACCTTGTACTGTAAAGTGTTTGAGAAAGGCAGAGATTACTGCAGTAATTATGCAGCATCCTCTGCTGCCATATTTTCACTGCCCTCCAACATGGCTTACATCCCAAATCTACACCCAGTGAACTGCAGCCTTTTAAAACTAGCAAAAACATACAGAAATTTCAAATTATGAACTGTAGCTTAATAATAAACCATACATTTACAGTATCTTACCTGCAAATAATTGGACTTTGCACATTACAGAACACTTAATATTTCCAAAGCATTAACATCAGTATATCCAAAATTTGCTTAAAATCTGCTGCCTTTTCCAACACGGTCCATAAAATGTTTCTCTAGCTATGAAATCTGGGCTTCTGCTGTCAACAAGTGTGTCCAAACCGCTCTACCCTGATCTAAGTGTTGAATTACAGCTCCAACAGTCCTTTACTGCTGTTGCAACAAAAAGCAGCTCTCCCCTTGCCTTATTATGTTTATGCTGTTTTTATTAAGATACAACACTTGACAGTTCCTTACCTAAGGACTTGAAAACCTCTGGGCTAGCATACTTGCCATCAAAGTAGACTGTGTTGTTCTGGGAGTCAAAGGCACGGCACATTCTGATGAACACAACCTCTAAAGACCCTAAAACAGAAACAACGTAGGTTTGACTAGTGAGGTTGAGACCTGCTGCAAAAAGCAAGTGAGGCTTCAAAACGTTCCTATGCCCTGTACTCATTCAGTATCAGTCGAATAGGGCGGCAGGTGTCTGGGCAGGGCATAGTTTGATTTGCTTGCAGAATTACAAGAATTCCCATAAACCCCTTTGGAAGTTTTTGTTAAAGCCACTTAATAATAACTAATTTCTGTTTGAGTGATGAAGTCTCTGAAGTCAAAGCAGCTCGCTCAGATTTATGCTGATGAAGCTTTGACAACTTTGTCCAGTATTTGTAAACTGCATTACAACATCTGGCCCAGGACAGACTGGATTTTTACCTTGAAACACTGTTATTCGCTCTTAGTAAGCCAAAATAAAACACTTGATTCCAACTGTTCCATCTTAACACCCTCGTTGCTCCCTTTGTTCATAGTAAAACTGTCACATGTAGACTTGAACTCATTTTACCCAGAGTTACTAAGGAGGTGGATTACTTCACACGAGGACACAAACAATTTGCAAGGTTCTTCCCTTGTATTATTTTAAATGATCATTGTACAACATATGTATATATCAGAGAATCACAGAATGGTTTGTGCTGGAAGGGACCTTAAAGATCACCTAGAGTTGCAACCCCCTGCCACGGGCAGGAACACAGTATTCATATACAGTTCCTGTATACAGGTAACACTTTCCTCAATCAAAACTAATAGAAGCAGACCTTCAAACTGACCCACATACCTGCTTTTAAAAGCACAATTTGATCGTTTTGACACAGTTCCATAAAGCCATCAATGCGTTTGGCAAATTCCACTACATACTGTATAGCTTCTGTTATTTTGACTGCGCATAACTGCCACATTACCTCCCTTTGCTGTTTGAGAGAAAAGAAAAATTGAACAATTACTGATCAAGCTTTGGAAAGCCCATCTGCATCAAGTAAAACCAAGCAAGTTCTCTCCAGCACTCCTGGCTACAGTCTGCTTGTTGGACAATGAGAATTAACCTCCCAGCCAAAGCCTCCTGTGTATGAGTGAACAATGCAAACATCTGAGACTTCTTCAGGGATGTCAGAAGAGATCCAGGTTGGAGTATTTTTATTTCATAAGCTAAAAATATCAAAGTAGAATGATTCCTGCCATTTCAGTGGGAATTCTATCTGCTGCATGAAAAGAGAATGCCAATTTACACCAGCAGTGCATAATCACATCCTTCCTGTCAGCTTTCTGTAGTTTGTACTGAATGTGAACTGTCTGACTAGCTCATGTTCCTAAGGATACATAACGATACACATATCTGAAAGTCATCTTGTTAACAACATGAAGACAGCATGAAAGTAGTGATTTTTTCATGTGCTGGCAATAATTCAGAATGAAATTACCTTACGAGTGGAAAAAATTACATTTTTAAAGGTTAAACATTTTTTGGTGGAAATGACAAACAGGTTCAAGGAACAGTGTGCTTTAGTAGGACAGCTTTCCAGAAGTAGCCAGTTGGCAGGAGTTTGCGATGGAAGCCACGTTTGAAATCCAAAGGTGAATTAAATCTTACAGTGTGTGTCCCCCCCCTTCCCCAGCACAGGACTGCAGCCCCAGTGACAGTGGTGGAGTGGGTCAGGATCACAGCCAGGCTTTGGAGGCTGGAAACCTGCCCAAAGTCTGTCAGCCCTGTAAAATGACACAACTTGGTGGCTTCAGCTTCTGTTGTTGCTGTTGATCCAGGAGATTATCAATGAAAATATTACTATAATGGGGTGTTTAGGATTGAAAACCTGTCTCTGGTTTCTAACCCTTGTTTGTCACAGGCAGACTTTAGGAGCACAGCTCTTCCTGTACCTGTTCTGATCACAAAGGCCAGGATATCCCAGCCATCTTGCTGCTTTGGATGCTAGCACATTATTTTGTTTGAAAACACAAATACATTCCTGACAGTAAATAGAAAGCAGTGAAAAAGTGAATTTTGCAGTGTGTTACGGAAATACCATGCTTTAAAAGCCCCCATGCCACAGCCTGGCATGCTCCTGTACCTTGTTCTGGTAGTTCTCGATTTCTTCCTGCAGGAAGGTCTGCCATGTTATCTGCTGCAGCTCCTCTCGCAAGTACTGGCACGTTTCCATGTGCGACTTGGAAATGTTCTGTGCAAGGTGTTCTAGAGGGAAGAGCACACAGGGACACGCGTGAGCAGCGCCCAGCTGCACCCCAGGGCCGGGGCCGCGCTCGCAGACCCCCGTTGCAGGAGGGCAGGGGGCGAGGCGCTGCTGCTACTGGCAGCGCTTCAGGTGCGGGAGCCGGGGCCGCGTGCTGCTGCCGCACCGCCCGCTAGGGGGCACTCCGCGGCCGCGCACCGAGCACAGGCCGGGTTTGGGTCGAATTCGGGTGGTTTTGTGAATGAATGAACCCCGCTGCGGCTGCGGGGCAAGGCGGCAGCGCCCGGGCGCGTCGCACACGTGGGGCAACACAGGAGTACCTGGGATGGAGCCACCCGGCAGAGAGCCCAGCGAGCACCCCCTCACCGAGCACCCCGCACAGGGCATGGCGCAGCGCTGCCAGCCAGGCACTACAGCTGTAAAAGCCATCTGTGCTTCTTACAACGGGAGCTGTCTCATAAACACACACTGACAGCGAGCACCGTGTGCTGGTGTCAAGCAGGACACTGCCACGTGGAGGGAGGGAAAGTTTCCCTTTTCTCTCACGTCATTAAAAACACAGCTGGAAAATGCACATTAGAGAAGGTCACTAACACCACACTGACGACTCAAGGGCTCTTTTCTCTAGCTTTATAGAGTAGTCCCTCCATTAACTGCCCATGACTTAAAATTTCCATACATTTTAATTCCAAATAAACCATTCTCTGCTGCTACAATTGGTTAAAAGACCCATGAGGCAGATTTATATTCATTAATAAAACTTGATTCCCTAAACCTTTAGGAACCCCACTAAAGGTGTGAATATAATTTAGATATCGGAATTCCACCTTTACCTGGTCTTTCTCTTGTCTACCCTGACTTTCACACCCACCTGTTCTGGTTTAGAGCCCTGCTGGCTTGTCTCCCACAGTGCTGCTGCTGGTGCTTTTGCAGCTTACACCACTGAAAGGAAGGCTTGAAACCAACAAGAATGGTCATGATGCCGAGGGGCTGGAGCTGGGCCTACTGTGAAACTTACTTGGTTTGGTAACAACCAAACCCAGCTCTACAAGTGGAACTGCTGGACCAATCAGCCTGCTTAGTGCACACCTACTGCATCAGTAGTTTGATGTAAGAAACAAACCGAAAAGTCTTTAACATGCAGCTGAGCTAAAATCAGATGATACGTGCTACCTGAGCATCAGCAAGGCAGAGCATCAGGTGGTTTATACTTTGGTTGCCATCACAGCTTTCACGTATTTCAGAGCAAGTTTCTTTTCTTACCAGTTTCTTAAAACATTTGCTCTCACCAGCAGCACCGGACAGCTTTATCCCTGTGCCCTTGTGGGATACAGAGGTGAAATATTACCATGTTACTCACAAGCCTCAGTTCTGTGTTTCAGCACACACCTAATAAACACTTTCATTGAGCAGCCCCACCTTTCTAAATTGAAACCTTAGTCTGGAAGACAAACATTCTCCAAATACTGTTCAGCAGTGTCAGTGCTGGGCACATAAATCACATTTTGTAGGGTCTAAATGTAAGCACTGCGTAAGCAACATGACACACTCATTTCAGGCCAGCAGTCCAAACTCAGCACCTGGTCTGGGAAGGAAAAGCCCTTTCTTTTTTCTGTAGGTTTAATGTAGATCTTTCACTGGCTCCCACAAGAACATTAACAGCCTTCTGACCGAGGCAAAGCTGGTAGCCTTTATCCTCGTGTTTTCTTCCCATTTTTACTTATCTGTAACTGAAATTACTTGAACTCAAGCCAGACACAGTATTTTGTCTGTCACAACAAATCATATTGCAGAGAACAGAAGGACATTAAGAGGAAAGGACATTAGAAGGTGAGGACATTAAAAGGTGATAAACCTTGTCCCTTCCTCTCTGCAAAACTTCTCAAACAAACTAAAACAAGCAAAACATTGTTATCATCCGTTTGTCTCTAATTAAAAAAAAGCTTGCAAAAAGATACATTTAACATGGAACACCTCATTTTCAAACTATTTTTAGGGTTTTATAATGAAATAATTAGCAAAAAGGTTGCTTAAGCAAGCAAAATCAGTTCTAAGCACCTGACTGCTTAGCTAAGTAACAGAATCTTAAAGCCACTTCTGTGCTGGCCTGTTCCAGGCTGCTTATAACCAGTCCACAGAGTGTGCTCTGACTCGAGCCTCAGATGTTGACAAGTCGTGGTTGCAGAATTCAGCCCTAGTGTATCACTCTGGGAAGAACTGACAGTAAAACTTGCTCATTAATGTGGTCGGTGTAAGGGAAATCACCAGAACTTGCTACTTTCTAAGATGTTCTTCAGCATCTGGGGCAAGATTCTTTTTGACCAGTGGTAGGAGAACTGCCTCCAATCACCCTGGTGCTTTGGGTTCATGTTTCCCAGGTACAGGCGGAGAGCAGAAGAAAATCAGCCTCCCGACTTCTCCTTAGAAAATAAGAGTATGAGGTAAGGGAAGAGAGGATAAAATGCTCAAAACCAATCTGCAGCAAAAGGAATGCTCCATTCCTCAGCACTAATCCTGGGCTCACTAATCAGCATTCAAAGGGTTCTGTTACAAGGACTGACACCAAAACCAACGCTCCTAGAGCTGACCAGCCACAAGCTCCCAGGATCTTTAGTCCAGTTCCATAAGGTGTTCACCATGTCCCCCGGGTGAGGGTACTGTGCCCATCACAGGAGGATGCTCACACATGCCCACAGCTCTACCAAAGCAGCATTCTCACTACTGCCTGGCTACATGTGTCACTTCAATCCAAAGGGTTACTATTAAGACAGTTACAACAGAAGCTTTTCTCTCTCATTACCTAATTCTGCCATGGACACAGTTGGAGAGGTCTCCCCATTTGTAAAAGAACAATACGGGAAGAAGCCCGATGCTGGTGTGTAGTCACATATTGGTTCTGGTTTGATTCCATTAATATCAAGACCCGACTGATCTGGAGAAGGCTGTATGTCTAAGTAGAAGCTGCTAACTGCAGAGTCTGCTTTGCTACCTTCAGGGGTATGCCCATCAATGTAATTACTGAGGTCATCATGTAGCTCTGTTAACCCATTGGTGGTGATATTGTATGTTGGTGTTAGTGGTTCTGCCTCTCCTGGTTGCTGCTGGTGATCTCGCTGCTGCTGCTGCATTCGATGCTTCTGCACCTCTGCATACAGGCTGTCCCTCTGCTTCTTTGACATTCGACCAAACTTTACAGCTGAAACACAGACACACAACATGTTACATTGATACAAAACCACTACTGCACTTTCATTGTCTTGGGGCTTTAAATACTACGTGGAAGGATGCAGTATAAAAGGCAAATCAGCTGAACGGGCAGACCTAAGAACCACTTCTGCAGTTACAGGTAACGTAGCTGCAGGATCTACTCATTAAAAGACCACCCTAACGTGATACTTAAACGGACCATTAGAAGTCACTGGTTTAGAGTAACCTATTAACTTCCCACTTCTATACCAGAAGGATTTTCTCTTATGCACCCGCCGAAGTTGACAGATGCATCTCCTCAGCATTCACACCCTACCTAGAAAAGCAGAGGCAAGACAGAATATGCAGGCTTGAGATGAACTGTCCAACTCCTGCTAGCTGAACACTCCTCCTACAACATGAACCTAGAGTTAAGTCTATAAACACGTGGGGCCTCTCTCAGAGAGTATCAAAAGCAAGCTTTATTGATACTAGGACCAAAGCACATAGGAGGGACCATAGAACCTGCTTTCAGTGCAGCTTAGAGTGACAAGCAAAAATGTTTACCCAGCGAATTACTGTTAGAACTATACATATATGTGTGTGTATGTATCTCTCCACAAAACTGTTACTATTTTGAGAAGTACTCACAGAAAGTGTAAGCCAGAAGCAACTGGTTTGCCACATCCAGGGAATTCCTAAGAACACAGTATGTGATTCCTAGGGCCTGTATCAGCTGTAGAAACCTCTTCTAGGAAGGTGACAGCCACCTTATGCTTTTCTACTGGGAAGCCAACCTGTCGCAGGGATCAGCTGTTACACGATCAACTGCTTCATGTTCTTAGTTTCATGCCCAATAAAAAACTTCAGACAATGTAATTCAAGAAGTTACTCTCCTTGATCAGGCCTCTTGTACATAGAGTAACGCATGTATGTTGGTAGAACATGCAGCGTTGCTGTCACTAGCGGGGGAAAACACTGAGTCAGATCTTCAAATTGGGGAGGAGATGGCAGCTTTGGTACATCTCTGGGGGAGGCACGCAAGTATCAGCCGCAAATCCAGTTCTAGCCGAGTTCCGTAAGCGTCCATTTTACAGAGGTGGGTTTTCCCCGTTACACCGGCACTAATTTTGAGCTTATTCTCAGCAGCGGAACTCATTTTCTTCAGAACTTTTGAAAAAACACGGTGCTATTTTCAATTTGTGTTTTTCCCTATAATTCATTACACACACATTGAAACTTCTGTCTTGTGAAGCAGTTCTGACCTGTGCTGATACAGCAACCAGAGCGTTACCTGCTGCTGTGGTGTGGGACTTAGCTTGGAGTGGACACAGAGAGAAAGTGTTAGCATCAGACTAAAACCTGCATCTTCCAGAAGTGACCAGAGGCAAAGCTCTGAACTGAAAACTATACTGGATGAGCAGGAAAGAGAGTAAACCCCAGAGCTTCATATGTGCCCTGATTCATAGCTGTTTAATGTGAGCATGTAACAACGAACAAACCCCTCTTGATGATCTCAACTATGAACCCTATGCACAATGAACCTTAAATCCTAGGCTGTTTTGGCAGAACACACTAAAATGCTAAATGCTGTTTGGTTTTTGCAGTTCAGGTGCATGTCAGCAGAGCTCACCATCCCGAGACATCCCCACAGCAAGGCATTTCTGTAGCCGACAGTGCTGGCAGCGGTTTCGACTGGTCCGGTCGATCAGACAGTTCTTCTGCCGGGGACAGGAGTAGGTGGCATTGCTCTGCTGACTCCTCCTGAAAAAGCCCTGTAACAATCGCAAAACACGAGTCAAGAAGCTGCCAAGTGATGGAGCAAAGAAAGACTTGGAAAGGCCGCACACGAGCAGACAGAGAAGTTCAAGCGCACTACAGTCAGCTGAGGAAGGTATGGAGGGTTTGGTTGGTTTTTTCCCCTTTCTTCTAGGAGCAAACAAACCCTGCTAACCAGTAGGAAACAGTTCCTTTAGAAGTGTTGTGACACACAGAGGAATTACACCTTTTTTCATCAGTTTTACCGACCCCCCATTACATGTGATACACTGATCCTTTCCAAATAAGATAAAACTAACCAGAGACCCAGATTTCCTGTCTTCCCTGGGTCTGCCAGATCTCCAATACAGGGAGGATTCAGGAGTCCTGTTCTTTGGAGATGTCAGTGGCAGGCCTCGATGTCCAGCCTCCCCCAAGGATGTCTGTGTTTAGCACAGTGTGTGATGCCAAGCGGGGCCTTAGACAAAGACAAAGCTTTAAAGATGTTTTCTCCTAATCAGTTTGATGCTGGTGGGTTTGAGGTTTTGTTCAGCTCAGTCCAGGGTTGAGATCTGCCAGGAGGGAAGAAGCTGAAACACGTCTTATGTGTTACCTCTTCTCTAAGTCAGGTGCAATGGGCAGACCCCCTTCCCAGCAAAGTGAGTGCTGCAAGGTTGGCAGTAGTCACAACTTGGGTCTCTCCATCAGGACTGTGCGTGCTGGTAAGCAGGATGCCAGCTGTTTGCTTTGAAGTGCATGGCATGTTTTAGCCACAGACTGCCCAAACAGCAGCTGGTGTGTGCGTAATACCTGCTTCACAAGGATGCTGCAGAAATGGAGTCATTCCAGCCCAGTGTTTTAGTTTTATGTTGCCACATAATGGATTCATTAACAGCACTGCACAGAAAACACCTCCTCAGAAATGCCAGGCACCTTGTAATTACAGCTGGACTTTTCCCAGTTCTTCCTTCATTCAAAGGCCCTATCCTGGAGCCCCTCAGCAGACGTACGTTCTGTCCAAAGAACACGTGAACTAAAACAACAGGAAGAGACTCCAGCAAACTTCCCTCAGGTAGAACCATGGCCATGCACAGAGCTAAAGACCCCTGCTCCATTGTATGAAGAGGAACCAGTCTTCATCCATTATGCGCCTTTTAGTAAAGCTTTAATGGGGAAACATGGAATATATAAAAAATGAGGAAACTGAAGATGCCTGTTTTTTATCCTGTTTTCCTGCGCATCATTTCTCACCCATCTATTCTGGTCTCTTGTTTCTAAAGGATTGAACTTTCAACTGTTCTTTAATGTCTGCCAATAGTGAGACTGAAAGTATTGCACTTACTGAGCTCTGATGGAGTGAAAACCCGAAACACCATGGAAATTTCTACCATTCCAGCACCATGACTGATCCCCCTGGAGGAACCGACTCTTATGTAGCAGACAGCTGAATTTCCAGCTCTGGCAGCACCCTCAGTGGAGCCTGTCACTCCAGTGCAAGTACACACGAAGTGCAGTGGGATTTGTCAGCAGAACAGTGGTGGGTACCGACCTGACCCGTGATGTCCTGACCAAGGTTCTGCATCTCCACACTGTCAGCCCCTGATAATTTGAGTTCCCCAAACACTGAAGGACGTGCTCACATATGAACTGCATAAAACCTGCCACCACTGAGGTCCTGAAAGTCAACTTAATCAACGTGTAAAATGAACCTGGCTCAATCACCTCAAAGATTTATACATTTTCCTTTAGCTGAGACATACACTGAGCCTGCACTGCCAGTCTGGCATATCTCCCTTCATTAAGAATGGTCTTGTCAAGCTGAGGATTATTTTTAGTAGTATAATGGGGAAAATACCAGACTTTTTGCTTTTCCACGTTTTCCCTAGAGACACAGCTGCTCGATACATTTTAGTGTACAATATATCTGCTAAGTTACAGCTTGAAGCTAAATTTTCAATACAGCAGGACTGCCTGAAACTGGGGTCTTTAAAAGCACTTGCACTTTACAAGCAGGAGATGTAGTACAGTGCTTTTAAAACCAAACCCTACACTGTTATCTGGGCATGCTGAAAACATCAGCAGAAGCTAAAGCAAAAATCCCCCCTTGCCTCAAACTCCAGAAACAAAACTGAGCTTGTCCAGAGCTCAGGCATACCCATATCTGATTCGGGACTGAACTGCCAATGGAGTTCTCGAAGTTCTTCTATATTATTGTCATCTGCCTGTGAATTTTCTAAGCTTGGGCTCTCCTATCATTGTAAGACGTGGGGAAGCCCCTATTACAAGAGCCTTCTGTAAGTAAATAGAGTTTCTTCCTCAGTTAGGTTTTCCCCCTTCATTAGGAGAAGGAGAGACGCCACATTCTGTTCTTCTATTCCCTGGCTTTTGCCAGAGGCACAGAGCTAGCTATAATTTTTCCATCAGGAAGGAGGAGGTGGATGCATGCCTGGTACACGTGTCTACATCCAAGCATTATGCAAACCAGCCCAGGCCACATGCTTTCCATGGCATGCATGTTGAAAACCATTACTTTACATGCAGGCAGTTGCCTAATGGGCCACGGGCAGAGCAGACCCCTCTGGATCCAGCACAGGAACAGAACTGCTGCTGCACTCCAGAAGCCACCATGGGACACGGCTGTGAGCAATGGCTCTGGCAGTGAGCACGGAGCCCTGCCTCCTCCTGATGGCAGCACAAAGATCCAGCTGATTCTGATGAGGCTTCATTGAGCTTTGCATGTCTCCCTTTTTATGTAGATGTATTAGCCCGGTGCCAGAAGAAGAGCAGAGCAGATTACAAGCCATAGCTTCAGCTCTGCGTTTCAGCCTCCTATTTATACACAACACAATATACGGGTTTTCAGATGCTGCCAAGAAATCAAGTTTGGGAAAAAAGGGCACAAGAACTTTTCATCTGCAAGTCAGTTCAAATAACAACTTGTTAAAAACAAACTTTGAAATGTAAATAGCAGCTTCTGCAGTCTTTGAGTAGCTGCAGTAACCTCAGTGTCAGTACTGCAGAGGTCTGTGTGCTCCGCAGCAGGGAAAAGCCCGCTGTGGTTCCCAAAGTCCCAACCGGCAAAGCCCCGGCTCCCTCTCCACTGCGGCACGGGCTGAAATGCTGATCTCATGTTTGGTCTTTTTGACAAATTTTCCTTTAATGAATTGATTCCTACAGTTCATTACCATACCCACTTCCACTTCTGTACACACATATGTCTTAATTAGCTGCTCATTGGCTGGTTAATTACAAGAAAACAGCTGACAGCTGCCTCGCTGCATCCTAATGGCAGACGTTTTGGAATGACTGTATGCAAGCCTATGACAACAAAGGCTTTTTCATAATCCCATGATTTATGGCTAGTACTTAAAGACTTCCACGTATCATTAAGTTTTGCAATATTCTGAGCAATTAACAATTAGTTGGGGGGATCATTCTTTTACTGTTTTCTAAAGCAAACCATCAAGAAACACCAGAAAAACACACTGTCCTATGAAAGGCAGATCAACTTTTTAACCCTTTTAAAACAATGAGCACATAGTTCAGTTGTAAAGGGAGGAGAGTGTTGCGACAACACTGTTTTAAAACTTTGGTAATGAAGTATTTGACAACAAAGTTATAGAGCCACTGTTCCATTTTACAGATGTATTAAAGACAGGAGTGAGGGTGCTCATCAGGTTACACAGGGCTCCTGATCGCCCATGCTGTAACAGGGCTCATCTCTAATGTGTTTTGCTTGGAATTGGCTAGGAAAACAATTAAAAATAGAAGAACTTTCAAAGCCTGAATTCAGGTGCATGCTTGCAACACTGCAGTAATGGCAGGCTGGCCAGCAAGGAAAGTGAACAAAGGAAACGAATGACCAGAAGTAATGCAAGGTGGGAAGTGACAATACAGCAGGTACTGTTCTGAAGTAACACACACAGACATTCCTGGTGGTTAAAATGAACAAGACCATCTTTGATCTTAAAAGAGGTAACAGGGAAAAGCTGGTACTTATAAACCTTTGCCCAGCAGTGCCCTGCAGGGATGGCTTTGAGACCAAGTGTTGCAAGCAAGCAAAGAGGGGGGCACACTAAGGCTCCTGTAGGTCAGCTGGGCATGAACTGACAGCACTGGCAGCACAAGTAACTGCACCTTCACACTAAATGCCATAGTTCATTAACAAAATCCTGATTTCAAGCTACATGCTTTGCTATGTCCTTCTGAAGCATTCAGGTGTTCTCTGACAATGCTCAACTGGATTCAGCTTTCAGCTCTGAGAACAATGGCTGTGTACAGAGCAGTCTCCTTTCTTAGCACCGCCCCTAGTAGAGAGCAAAAGACAGTTACTGGGTTCCCACAACTAATGGTTGAAGAAATGCTCCATACAGATATGAGTCTTTTTAGTAATGCTACTGCAACAGTACTATTTCTAAATCTACAGAGGAGAATAAACTTCTGAGTTGTGACACAGTCTTTGTGTCATTCTTCACCTGTATTTCTGAGTGATTAATCTCATCTTGCCTTATATGCTGCATAAAGGACATCAACAATGGTTGGAGAGAAAAAAATCTGCTCTTTTAAAATTTAGTCTATATAAGTAAGTCACTGGAGCCCTCCCAGATAGAGTATAAAACAGAGCCTGGCTAAAACCTGTTTTTCACTGGATGGAGGGAAGCGGAGGGGGTGTTCCATTTTATTTCTTAAAGGCAGATTGAAATTCAGCTCTATAGTTGGATGGGTTGGGAGTATTCAGTGATGCTTGTGCAAAGCACAGCCAGTAACTTCATAAAACCAGGCAGTAACATCAGAGTGGGGTAGGAAATGAAAACTTCCCACAAAACAGTAACTGGCTTCATTACAGATCTTCAATTCTAGCTACATGAAACAATTTAACAATGAAAATGGATCAGAAGACTTTCAACCATATGTAATGCAGGAGTCACAAGCCTGTAGAAGAACAACAGGATCAGCAATTTAACAAGAACCTGTGATTTCATACACGATACAGATTAGGATTGCAAAGTAGGTCTCTGCAACTAAAACAACACTTTAGGTTTTAAATAAATTACCTTTCCTGTGGTCACTGGTAGTTATACAGTAACACCTAAGTTAATGCTACTATTAAGTAACATTAAAGTTCACAGCAAACCAGAGTGAAAATATTAAGTGCTGAAAACACCACACTTTGTGCTGCTGGTGCTGCCTTGTACATCACTCTTGACAAGCCTGGCTTGAGAGGGCAGCAGCACATATGTTCACTTCTGAGGGCTAAAGCCCCGACCGTGGCATCTGACACACACAGATGGGTTTGTAGCACTGGTGCAAGAACCTCACTGACTTCTCTGGGATGGTCTGCTGGTGCAAAACATCAGCTCTAAGAATCGGAGCACTGGGAACTAGGTCTTCACAGCAAAGTGCTTTTTACAAAGGGAGATTTAGTGTAACATGAAGAGCAATGTAAGCATGCTCAAACCTGCAGAGATCATAGCCACAGAAAGCTGGGAAAAACCCCATACCAATACACACCTGGCTCCCTTGGCAGAAGCCAAGCTATGCCAACTTTTTCACCAGCCAAAATATTTCTGTTGGGTGAGACTTTGTTGACATTACTGTGGAAAAGCGTAGCACAAACAAAATCCATCAGCTACAGTAGAGCATTCTAAATGCTGTCTCGGTCATGATCACTTAAACTCCTCCTGTGACTCGTGCCCACTAGCACTGCCCTAGCTGTGTCACCACTTGCAGGTCATCTGGGCTCTGGCATTAAAGAGTGAGCTTCAGAGTAATTTCCCTCCTGAAAGGGAAATACCTTGGTTAACTAAGTTGATATTCACTGGCTTTCAAATCCTGCCTGAAAGTTTATGGCTAGAAGATGTCACTCTTCTACCCCAAGAGAAGGAGAAAATGCCCAGCTCCATTCACAGGGCTGCTGTCTGTCTTACCCATGCACACTCCGCTTCCAAGGTTCAAGTGGCTCCAGTGTGCTCAGCATTCCTTTCCACCTGCCTCTCCTCCCACTTCTCTCCACCAGCTGCCTGTCCCTGGGGAATTCTCAGCATCAGACTGAGGGCTGCACAGAGCTCCCAGAGAATTCAGCTTATACAGAATGCCAATAATGAAAATAATCTGTTTTGAAACATGAGGAGCTGCACACACATTTCTTGCTATCAGGCTCACTTCTGATGTTCTGACTGCTGGACGTACACAAAGGACTCTTCTCCTAATAACTCGCATTTGCATTTATTCCTAGGAAAGCACAGTCCCTGATGGAGGGATACTCGATGGACATGTCTGTCTCTTACCTTCAGTGCTACCTACTAACAGAACTGCATGGTGTGCTCCACTTCCTCCTATATTTTGGAGGGGCTTTTCTCACACATGCAGGACTTGGGAAAAGGCAAGGCAAAGGAACTGCATGAAGATGAAGCAACAAACAGTTCAGCTGGCAACTTTCCTTTCCTTTGGCAGCCCATTCCTGTTCTGCAACAAGCCATGTTGAGAAAGGCCTGTTCCTTGCCTAGGCGAGCAGCAGCGCTGCGCTGACCTCAGTCTGTTGACAGGGATGGTTTGTCATCGATCTCAAGGCTCAGGTAAACCAGGATTCACCAGCCCCAGCCCGCTTAAGGATTAAAGAGGTCTCAGACGTTGAACATAACTCGATACTCTTTGACAAGATAGTCATACAGCAGAATTCTCACTGCCAATGTCTGCCACTTCACAGCTGAAATCTGATAAAAGCTGCTTGACCACATAAAGCTGTCAAAAGTAACCACTTCATTATCAACCCATTTTAGTGCATTTCTGACATTTCCCACAGTAACAGCAGTTACAAAGAGCAGAAGGTGCTGCCCTGTTATCATTCTAACATGCTTAGATTTTTAGTTTCTTCTCTTCTTTCTTACCAACACTTCCATGAGACTGAGACAATGTGTGAGTGGAAATACAAAAATCTTCCTTGGAAAAACACAAAAGAAATCTCTATAATGTGAAAGCAAGAAAGCTACTGTTTGAAGACGGGTAGTAGTATCAAGGAAACCAGGAGAGCAGACTGAAAACTGTCACAAATTCTTCACCCCTTTAATGTAGATTAGCAGTAGGAAAAACTATCAGCATGGAATTGGAACATGTGTGCACATGAGGAAAGCAGAAGCCAGAGCACAGCTGTGCACACTGTGGCACTCCAAGCTAGCACCATAATTGTTCACCAGTGATAGAAAGGAGTGATTAGCTTCACAGTGCTCTGGCCTAGAGTTAGTGTTGTCCGAATCAATTCTTGCTTGTGAGAAACAAACTAAACAACCCATAAATGCTTTTAAGGTAACCCTTGCTCACTGGAGTTACTGAAGGTACAAATGAGGAAAAAAATGAAAGCCTAAGCTTTACACAGCAATGGTTGCACTGAAAGGAACAGGCACCAAACAATTCTGTGCAACATCCCCCATACCAACCAGAATGGATGTACAACTGGAGCAGAGGACAGAAGAAAACTGAGAAGTCAGAGAGCTCTCATGTATGGCAGCACAGCTTCTCAGCCATTCACTAAGCAGAAAACAGAGAGGGAGATTTGAAAGCCCCAAACTCTCAAATGAATCCACAGAACAGATTCTTTGTGGCGTGCCTGAAGTGGATGGCCTTTCTGTACCTCTTCTGCTTACCCACAGAGAAAGTTCACAGCACACACACTACAACTGCAAGGTCTTTGAGGCTTGTCCCAAAACCTGCGGTGGGGTTTGCGTGTGTCACACAATGCCATATTTCAAACACAAATAAACCCAGTCCTTCAGAATCCCCAACTGATTCCATGTTCTTTGAGCTGGAATCCACTGACCCAACTGCAGTGCAATGCTGGGAAAGGGGAAGGAAAACAATCACTTTCAAAAGGCTAAATGCTGCTTTAAGACTTCGTATTTTAGAAGCTTACCTTGCAGCCTTCACATGTAATGACACCATAATGGATTCCTGATGATTTGTCTCCACAGATCTTGCATGGAATAATTTCAATTTGAGCTGCAACAGAAGCACGCAACCAGTTAATTACATTTTCTTTTAAACACCTTATAAAAGCATTCCCTGATCAGCATTTGTACAGTGAAAACTAATAACCTGCTAAACATTATACTGCATTAACTATTCATTGCTGAACTGCAAGGGTCCCCTAGAGCTTTGAGCTAAATTATGGCTGCTCGTTATATAATGGCTTTTGGGTTATTAAAATGGGTCATTTGAGAAGGTGTTTAAGAACCCACAGGAAGGCTGGAATCAGCATTTCAAAGCCAAAAAGAACAGGAGAGTTCAGAGTTTGGCCGAAGCGCTGACAAACACCAGAAAGGTTTCTTCCAATCTCATTAATGTGAGGTTGTAAAAGGTAGTTTTAGTTTGCCCTGCCTGCCAGTGAGCACACCTTCACCAGAGGGGTGCCCATCACGCCATCCACTGCTCACCAGTGGCCAGGCCTAGAGAGAAGGGACAAGGCAAAGAGAAAGCGTGCTTTACTTGAGAAATCCAGAAGTCACCTATCTGTCCTGGGAGTGAATTGCCAGCATGTGTTTCTGTGTTAGCCACCACTGAACAGGTAAGGAAGGGAAGTACACCAGTGTTCTGGCCAGCTTAGGAAACCAAGGGAGTCGGTGCAGGCTGGACACTGGCAAAGAGATATGGGATATGAACCCCCCAGTTTTTAAATGGAACTTCGGACATATAAAACACACCTACTGAATTCAGTTCACTGTGTGGCAAACTCTAAATCACAGCACCCTCCCATCTGCATACATGGATTTAAGAAGGTGCTTAGGAGGCTCAGGAATTCCTCTTCAACTTCTGGATCATAGAGCTGCAGTCACTTTGCTAGAAAGTCTTTCTGGATAGGACCAGGCTGAGGCAGTGCTTTGCAGTATCAAGGACCAGCAGTCTACATTGTACATGCCCTTGCACGTGCTCACACAAACAGACTGTACCCATCAGGTCAATAACCAAAAAATTCCAAGAAAATCCAGTCTTTGCCACAAGAGCATCAGGATCAGGCTATGTCAGATTTCCTGAACCAGGTTATTCTGAACCGGAGCACAAACACAGCTCTTGCTGTGGCTCTACCAACCATCAGAAGCGCTATTAACCTTCTGTGAGGAGCTGAATTCCATTCACAAGACACAAGATTGTTTCGGACAGCTTTTATTGCTCCAGTTTATGGTGGTGACAACACATATAATGACATTTCATTCTGTCTTACGATGCATTAGCTTAACTTGGGCTGTACTCTGAACACTGTATTCAAACAGCCATGTCCACTATTACAGGACACCATGTGCATCTGCTTCCACCATCAGGATCTTGGCAATCTTGACCTTTAATTCCCCACCCTCCCTCCAGCAACAAGAGGATGGGCTGAAATCAAAAGGTGTCTAGGACGCTTAAAAGACGGAAATACACCTTCCTTGGAGTCTTCCAAAAGCTGTTTTAATTTCACTTTGCTTCCAGTTAACCCATTAAACACAACGGAGCAGGAAGTGAACTAATACAAGGAGAAAATAAAGTGTATGCTCTTTTATTAACGTGTTATATTAATTATCACTAGAGCATCAGGTGTTTATAACCAAAACATCGAGAAGAACCCCATTTCACATCAGCAAGCTGGACAACAGGCAAATTCACAACAACTCAAAATCTGTGCAACGGTCAGTTTAGATCCAGACTGCAATCCTTGGGCAAATTCTGGGACAGACCTGCTGATTCCTGGTTGTGCCTTTTCAAAGTGAGATTATTTTTCTGCTCTGCTACAGTGAAGCTGCAGCTTTCTCCAGCTCCTTTGACAGAGTGGTCATGAGTATCTCATCAGCTACATGGCAGTGTTATATTTTAAGTCACTTTTATATACATAATTAGTGTCTTATTTCGAATAGGTATGATACAATTGGGCCTTGTTTATCTACATCTCCAGCACATGAGTTAAATCACCCATGAAGCCTGTCCATGCAATCCCTATTTCATAAGCAACAGGACATTTGCAGAGTGTTTCTGAAGGAATGTAATATGCCTTCAAAGTGATGGCCTAAAGCTAGGTTACTAATAGTCTTAAAGGTGCCATAATTAGTCCCAAATGCATTTTCCAGGATGCATCACTGCTGGAAGAGAATTTCCACAGGTTCAGAGGCTCCAGATGTGCAGCGTTTGCCAACCACTGCGTGTGTGAGGAGTGGCACCCAATCAGGTATCGCTTCAGCATTCCAAATCTCCCCCAGTTCAGAGGAGTACTTCCAAACTTCCAAGAGTACCTCCATCTGTAAGGTACTCACTTTCAATTAAGCATGCAGCATTTAAAACCTCAGCTTATCATCTCGCTCTGGGATACAGGACAATGGGATGAAACTGGGAAGCACAAATTGCTGGGGACTGCCACAACCAATTACAAATGAACACACGAGAAGGGATCAGATCAATTTACTGCTCCACGTGATGCACTCTCTGCCCATCACTCATTGCAGTGGAACCCCTGTCGCAAGTTCGTACACTTCCCACAGAGCATGCAAGGACTTCGATACTTTAAACTTACTAAATGCAAACTGCCTCTGCCAAGATTATGCATTTTTCTTATGAGGGTGAAAATATTTTCCCCACTTTTAACTCTGACATGCAAATATGTACTTGCTAAAACCTTGTTCTTATGCAAACAAGGCAGGTGGGAAATATTTTTACGTGTCAAGAATATGTTCCAACTTGGTTTCTCACATTCCCAGAGTTACTTACAGCTTCCTACTGCGCTCACATTAATTGTACCTGTTCTGTGCTTACATATATTTATATGGTATATTTTCCAAGATTATATAAAATACTCTAATTCATGCTTTAGACTAGAATTAGCCTAAATTACAGTTTACAATTTCTGTCTCCTGGGGTGGTGCTCAGGCTGATTCTGGTTCATGCATGAGCAAATTATTTCTTAAATATGAATTGCAGAAGAAAAATAAACTCTTGTGGTTGCTTAGAAACCACTACAGATACCCAGGTGACAGATGTAGTTTGTGTTCCCAGATTAAAGGCCTAAGAATCTTTCACACCCTGAAATAACAGTGCTCCAGAGTACTACCAAGGATGTCCTGTGCCAAAGGCAGCAAGGAATAGGAATGAAAGACCAAATAAACCACAGAGAGCAGCAAATGTGAGCTCAAGCACAGACACCCACCAAAAGTACCAAACAAGTTGCTACAGAAATGGCTCCTGAGAGGGGGAAGCGGCCAGAAGAGGCCAGAGGTGGTAATCATAGAACAGTTTGGGCTGGCAGGGACCTACAAAGGTTCTTAAAAAACTCATGTCAAGCCTATCTCTATAGGAAAGGGCACCTGACTGAGGTCTCAGTATGTGTGACTTTTAACTGGTAGCTATTCCTACCACTGCAACAGAGGTAATCTTCCTGCTGTAACATCAGATGCTGTAACATCACCTGATCCTCATTTTGCACCAGCAAAATTGAGTGTGGACTCTTCGACTTGCTCAAAATCCGACAGAACAGGAACTTGAGCCCAAGTTTTACAGGGAAAAAAAGCCTGTGTTCTTTGCTCTGAACCCTTTTTCTTCATCCACTGTGTTCACCTGGCAATTGTCTGAAGTAGCTCTGGTGCTCTTAAATTATGCAACTGCCTCCACCTAATTGCTCATGAATGTGAATGTGCTGAAAGCCAGCTTTTGTTTGCATCTAGAACAGAAGAACATGGAAGAATATACCTTATTCCCTCCTACTTCAGGCTGCACTTCTTTCCCCAAATCTGGAACACCTTCCTTGGGCTTGTCTGTCTTTTTCAAGCTCCCTCCCCAGACGGACCCCTCTAGACAGCCTCTCCCTCTCTACTGAAATGCTCTGTGGTTCCTTGTGTGGTCTGAGCAGTAGAGGAAGTAATAAATCTAATTATGTATTTGTAAGGAAATGCTCTGTACAAGCTCTTCATAACCTTTAGCTCCTTCCTTTCTAACTCTGCAAAGACTCACAATGGGACAAGAGCCTGTAGAGCCATGTAGAGCATGGGGCATTTTCCTCCCCAGTTCTGCCCCTTAGAGAGAGCCACACTGAGCCTCGACCCAGGGCAGAAGATCACCAGTCAATCCTGAAGAAAAACTATTTTCCAAAGACAGAAGTTTTCCTCTCCGCATTAGTGTGTCTGAATGTTTTCATTCAAATGAATTAATTGCCTCGGGATAGAAAAAGGATTTTCCTCCTGCTTTCACACTGTTATGTCAAACTTGTGCATTCACATCCATCATGTTATCTTTTCCAATGTGCAACAGGTATGAAACCTCAGATTTGGTATCCTGGGAAGGGTTCTTTCATGGAAGCAAAAATTGGTCCCCATCCCTGCGTTTTAGGGGATATTCTCCAAGCTGACCTGAGCTATCTTGGAGGTGAAGCTGTCTTGTCTGCTGCTAGAATGAAAAGAGAGAAGAAAGGGAGGGAGAAGAGAAAGCGAGCAGGAAAAAGGGAGAAGGAACATGATTCACCTTCTTCTGGACCAATGAGATGAACCCTGGAGTGGAGAGGCCTCCTCTTCACTCCCCAGAGAAGGAATTTAATGATACCTTACTTGCAAGCCTAACTTTTAGAAGGTGAAAGTTGGGTGAACAGTACTGCCCCTTACTATGTCCAAGTTCAAAAATCATCATTTTCTGGAAAAGTAAGCCTGTGTAGAAATGCTCCCATCCCCTCCCATGGTAGACAGGCTCCCAACTACCTGTGCACGCTGGCAACATTCAGGTAAGAGCATTTCTATGGAGTTCCCCATCACAGCTCCCACCCTTCAGCTCTCAAAGCAGCAATATCAAGAAACTCCAGGTATACACATTCCTTCTTCACCCAGTAAAGATCAAATTAAGCACATACTGCTTAGTCTGCCGGACTGGTTTCTATTCCTTAAAACTTCTGTGGGCACTGAGCATCCGTGTCCAATCCACTGCCTTTCTGGGGAAAGCACCCTAACCAAAATTGTTAGCTGAATGGAGGGCTTTCCTTGAGGCTCAGTGTGGGG